ACTCAACAGCACTTAACAACAACAACATAAATATATATTTTTTAGCTATTTTACACTCTTCAGAACTGGTAGACTATTTCTCCTTTCCCAGAACTGCTGAATATTCTGCTGAATATCGTGAATTGTATAATGTATATATACACATTGAACATACTGATGCTCCCCTTCCAAAGCCACTTTAGTCAGTATCTTTTCTCATACATGATGACAATAGTTCCCTTTTTCCATCCAAAGACTTTTCTTATATTCTCCTTCCTGCCTCAGTATCTTTGTAAACTTGGTTTTTCCTGGACTGCCTTTGCTTCCTCGTCCACTGGAGAAACCATTATCCATTTTACTTAAGGCGCAGGTACAGCTGCAGTGTCATCTCTTTTGGGAATTTTTCCCACACCACTCATCACCAGTAAATGGTTGTTGCATCCCTTGTGAATCTACCTCAGTCTCTTTGTACAATCCACTTAAGAGTATGATGCAATTTCTCTGTATCCCTCAAGGACATTTTCTATAATCCAGGCTTTGGATAAACTCTCATCAAATGTTTATTAAAGAAAGCGTGACAACTAGCATCCATTAAGTGCTCTTTATATATTTTGTTATTTAACTGTAACAATCCTGTTGAGGTAATCAATCTCTCTTATTTTACAAGGGAGTTTATTGAGACTCAATGTGCTATTTGACAAGATAACTGAGCCAATACATCATATAAATGCATTCAACACAGCTCTGGCCTCAGTTTTTTCTTGTTTAATGGTTGTGTGCCATTTTAATTAAAGCCAATCTTAATATCTTGTAGTTGTTGTTCTTATGTACCATGGAGTTGGTTCCAACTCATAGTGACCCTGTACAGGGTTTCCGAGGCTATAAATCTTTACGGGAACAGAAAGCTTCATCTTTCTCCCGTGGAACAGCTGGTAGTTTCGAACTGTTGACCTTGAGGTTAGCAGCCCAATTCATAACCACTACGCTACCAGAGCTCCTTATCTTGTTATTGTTGTTGTTGTTAAGTGCTGTCGAGTCGATTCCGACCCATAACGACCCTGTATAGGGTTTTCAAGGTGCAGCTGGTGAGCTTGAACCACCAATCTTGTATTTAGTACCCAAATAATTGATAATTGACTAGCATGGAAACTACTAGGGACAGGTAACAATTTAAATTCCATGTGATTCATTGTAGCCTCATTTCTAGAAATTCCTGACCAGAATGCAAATTGGAAGAAAGAAATTTGACAATATGTACCAAAAGTCTTAAAAATATGAAAATTAAATTATAGGACAGACACAAATAGATCAAACCAAAATCTAAACCCAAGCCATCTAGCTGTTTCTGACTCATAGTGATCGTTACAGGACAGAGTGGGACTGCAGTATAGGGTTTCTGAGGCTGGAAATCTTTTCAGAAGTAGACAGCCTCATCTTTCTTCCATGGACAGTTGGTGGGTTTGAACCACTGCCCTTTCACTTAACGGCCCAACACTTAACTCACTGCAACACCAGGGATGCTCATGAATGGGCATATAATGCTAAATGAACGGAGACAACTTATATTCCTATTTCAAACATTAGTGCAGCTGCTAATAACTAATTAAGACAATTTCAAAACCAATTGCATTCTTTCTACAATCTATCATGACTTGAGTTCCATTTGATGCTACCTTTCCCAATGATGAGCAGGGGCTGCTTGGCATTCCTGATAACAGACGCTGCCATACGCACAGCAGAGGTTTCTGCCATGCTCACAGGAGGGGGCATGCAACACTCTACGTACCTGAAAACAAAGATACTATTAATTGAAGGAAACCAACTTTTGAATTACTTACTGTGAAAAATAATACTCACCATCTAAATTCAACAACTAACGTCACTTTATCAAATTTGTTTCATACACACACAAATGTGTGTACATGTTTCTGAACCATTTAAAATTATAGGCATCAAGTCATTTCACACTACAAAACTTTACTATAGATTGTAATCACTGCAATGAAACTATGAGTGTAAACCCGATGTTCTCCCATGTAAACTACCACTCAATTCACAATAAAAACTTTAAAAAAAAGTGTATAGACCTAAATGGGGAGGAAATGTTGAAGAACAATAACTCTGCCCTATGATTTTTTTTTTTAAATAAAGGTTTCATTGATACTGTAGCAGTAAAACCAAACTTCCCTGTGCTGCTGTAACCACAACATGCTTATCACATCTACTAAGTTAATAGTTCTTCCTTACTTGTGATCACAAGAGGCAGTTGTTCAAACAGAGCATGGGAACACTGAATGGTTTAAAATTAAGAAAGCTGTGCAACAGGGTTATAGTCTTTCACCATACTTATTCAACCCGTATGCTGAGCAAATAATCTGAGAAGCTGGGTTATATAAAGAAAAACATGGCATCAGGATTGGAGGAAGATCATTAACAAACTGCGATACGCAGATGATACAACCTTGCTTGCTGAAAGTGAAGAGGACTTAAAACATTTACTGATGAAGCTCAAAGAGCACAGCCTTTGGTATGGATTACATCTCAATATAAAAAAAACAAAAATCCTCACCACTGGACCAATAAACAGCATTCTGATCAATGGAGAAAAGACTGAAGATGTCAAGGGCTTCATTCTTTCTTCTTGGATCAACTATCAACACTCATGGAAGCAGCAGTCAAGAAATCAAATGGTGTATTGCATTAGGCAAATCTGCTGCACAAGACCTTTTTAAAGTGTTGAAGAGCAAAG